TGCCGAGCGCCGAGCTCGCGAGAACTGCGGCTCTCGCGGTACTTCCCCAGTCGCGCTTCCCGCCTTCCGCTGCCGTCTCTCGCCGCCTCAGGAAGCGGGGGCGGTGCGGGGAGGCTCCGGGTGCTGCCCGCCCGGCTGTGTGCCGAGCTGTCGCCTCGCAGAAGGCAGGAGAGAAGCTCTCTTCGCCCCGCTTCACGCCGGTGAGAGAGGGAGAGCACCCAGCCCCCGCTCCCCCGCCCCGGCGGTGTGAGGGGCCTCCGTGGTGCCCGGCGGGTTGTGGCTCTGGAGGGCTGGCCCCGGAGCGCTTAGCGAGCTCCTTCGCTGCCTTCCGACTCCCTCGGCCGCCGTGGAGTTTCCGGAGAGTCCGGGGGTGGGGAGCTCACCTCCGAAGGTTAGCGTGGACAGAGCTGCTTGGGGCGTTCTCTCGTGACTCAAACTGCGTGAAAAACGACTTTCCGAAAAAAAAAAAAAAAGAGTGGTCGCTGAAGCATTAGGAAGGCGGCCGTAGTGAGAGCGGGTCCTCCTGAGCCCCGCTGTGCTCTTCTGCTGAAGGCGCTGGAATTCGCTTCGCTTAAGGAGTCGGGAAAGAGCAGTCTTAGTCCAGACGCCTTTCTGAGTGGGTAAGTTTAAATCAGAGGAGTTATTAACCCACCCCACATAGTTTTTGGCTATCAAGGATGTGAGTGGCAAACAACTGCCTTGAGAAGTTCATCGATTAGAGACCTCTGTGTTTGTTTTATTCCTATTTTTCATGCCTGCAACTCCGAGGTAATTTCCATGACTCGAAATGTGCCAAACAGACCCTGATTTTATTCGGCCCAGCAAGGCTGAATTGTGTCATCCATCTGTATGGTATTGGCTACTTCATATGTATAACACTGTTTTCTGGCCGATAAACCTTTTTCTGGAAAAGATGTAGACTGGATATACCCGATGTTTATCTGCTTCCGTGGCAGCCTTTTCTTCTCACTGCTTTTGATATTTCTTGCAGGAGGGGAAAAAAAAAACCCTTATCTTTGGCAATGATAGATCCTTTAGAGAACAACTTGTTTGATCTTCCTGATTATGAGAATACAGAAGATGAAACATTCCCACCTCTTCCACCACCTGCCTCTCCTGGAAGAGACGATGTTGAATGGGCTCAGGCTAATGGAGGTGAACACTTGTAACCCCTAAATATCCCATTTTAAAATATAGACAAAAAATGCTGTGAAATCGCTATTACTAATCAGTTTTACTTTATTACCTTGAGTTTACTGCATAAAAATAGCCTTGTGTAGATAAGAAAGCAGTTGGTAGATGTAAATTATGTGTTCTGTGCTTTTGAGCTTGTGGGAATTTTTGTGGATTCTACACAAATATGTACACAAATGAATCTTCATAAAATTCAAGCTGCTCTGACAAAATTTTGGTGTAGATAATTGTACAGTGTTGATCTATAGTTACCCTTTATGACTGATTTCAGAAGAGGTGAGAGTGATGGAAGTAGTATTCCAGGGAGATGTTGGTAGGTTTTGTAGAGCATATGACCTAGAAAAAAATCCAAGATGCTTCAAGACAGTGAATCTTAATTATTTGAATTTGAAAAGATCTTCCTGTGTACTGAACAACCTGATAGATAGTATAAAGATTTTAACTGTTGTTTACTTCTACTTGCCTATAGTGTTAAACATGTTAAATCTTTGCTCTGTTAATTAGAGAATAGGATTTTGCATAGCTTTATGCAAAAGGTTTATAGGTTTATAATTCCTTGGAATGTGAGAAAGAGAACTTCTGAATTCCTGGTGCTCAAAGTAACAAGAAGTAAACCAAGAAGTCAGTATATCTAACTAGCTCTGAGATGAGATGGGCAATGGTGCCTCATCTGTTGCAGTCAGACAATGTGTTCCTGTCCCTAATAAAGTATATGGGCTTTAGTTCTCAAAAGACACATTGATTGTGCTCACACATTACCCCTTTCTCTGTTTTTTGAAGGTGATGCTGATGGTTTAGGTCTGTCTATGACATCTATATTCAAATTGTGTTCATTGATAACTTGAGTTTCTGAACTTATAGAAGCCGTATCTGCTCTCAGTACATTTCTCAAAATAAATAAAATAGATAAGTTCTAAAATTAAGAAATTTCCCTTTCAAGGAGCCTGCTTTGCTAGGAAGGCTGCTTGCTTGGTGTATTTTGATTTAATTCCAGTCTGTCTTGTGGGAGAACTGAGGTGGAATATGCAGATGTTTGTTTGGAGTGCTGTACCTGCAGGGGAATACTTGTGACTCTGCCTCTTTGATAGGGTAGAAACTTCAAATTTACATGATGCATTTCTAGTTAGAGTTAATTTTGTGATGTGCTTAAAGTATGTTATTTTCTTGATTAGAACCAGATGGAAAACAGCAGTCACAGGCAAAGGATTCTGCTGTAGCTCCACGGAAAGCAGTTAAAAGACCAATGCCTAAACTAGATGCCCAGAGGTATTTTTTTTTTCCTTGTCGAAGTTTCTTGATGTCTCCTTGGAGACTAATCCTTGGTTTTAGAGGAACATGAGAGGCTGTAGTTGGTCTGCTAGGTTTTGGGTTTTGGGGATTTTTTTTGTCATTCTTCACAGAATCCCAGCATGGTGGGGGTTGGAAGGGACCTCTGGAGGTCATCTCATGCAATCCCCCTGCTCCAGCAGTGTCATAAGAGCAGGGTGCCCAGGATCACATCCAGGCAGGTTTGGAATCTGTCCAGACAGAAGCTTTGTTCTCAGAGGGAGTTTTTGTTAATGAGAAGAATGGGTTTCAGATAACTTCACTCATTCTCTCCTTACAGGTTAGTTTCAGAAAGAGGACTTCCAGCCCTGAGGCACATGTTTGACAACGTAAAGTTCAAGGGTAAAGGGCATGAGGTAAGACAGGGTGAGCTTTTATTTTGTATCCTGAGAGGTCGGTCTAGACTTGATAGATTACTGCCCATCTGATACAGGGAGAATTGATATTACACTCTGGTTAGCCAGCTTCTAGCAGTACTTGAACATACTCTGATAGTATTTGTAGTGGTAAATTTAAAAAGCCAAACACAAATGTTTTAACAAAATCTATGTGTTGATCTCAAAACTGTTTTCCTCTACTCCAAAACTACATCATCATATCTGACTCTTTGTGTTGTCTAAAGAAACTTTTTGAAAGTGGAGCAGTCTTATTAGACTGCCTGCTGCTTCTGGAATGCCTTTGACATCTCCTTTTATTATTAGTTTCCTCTCTTACTGACAATATTCTGGCTATTGTAACACCTCTATCCCAGAGTTTTTTAATATTGAAAACAGTGTGACATACCACTTAAGAAAAGAGAAACTTCTATACAGACTGTCTCATTGTTTTCTGAACATGGGCCAGCATGTGCCCAGGTGGCCAAAAAGGCCACCAGCATCCTGGCCTGTACCAAAAGCAGTGTGTCCATCAGGAGCAGGGAACTGATCATGCCCCTGGACTGGGCACTGGGGAGGCCACAGCTTGAGTACTGGGGTCAGTTTTGGGCACCACCAGATAGAGACACTGAGGGCTGGAGTATGTCCAGAGAAGGGCAGTGAAGCTGGAAGTCTTGTCTCATGCTCTAGGCAGAGGATCTGAAGACACTCATACGACACATGGAACACTGGGCTCATAGGCTGTTCCCAAAATTGCAGTTTGAGGATTTTATTGACAGAGTGGAGTCCTTGGGAAACAAAAAGGAAGTTCAGGTACGTGTTGCTTCTGTCAGTTCCTCTTCATGCAGTGCTGACTACTCTAAGAGGCAGGGTTAGGAGAGCAATTACACATACTGCTAAGGAGTATACTTAATTACTTAAATTATTTTCTGTCTTTTTAAAAATACTTTGTTCCATTATTGAAGCCTACATATAGATACCACCTTTCTTTATTTGGATTAGTACTTCAGAGAATTTGCTTTGGCTTTTTCGGGACATCTTTAACCAAAGTAATTTGTATAAGAGTGCTGGAACTGATTGGTTTTGGGGCTTTTGGTTGGTATTTTAACATTTGACCCTGCAAAAGAAGACTTATGAAAAATGCTGCTTCATCTGGATCAGTGGTAGGAGGAGGACTAGGAAAACTATCCACAGCAATAAAAGTTGTGGGTCAAACACATGTTATGACAGGAGTATTTTCTTCAGCATAGTAGAGTGTAAAAAGAAGTTTGGAGTAGTTTTAAAAACATAGCAGTGCTGCACAAAAGGTGTTACAGGTGAAACATCAGTATTTTAATCTCTCAATTGCAGACCTGCCTAAAGAGGATTAGACTTGATCTTCCTATTGTACACGAAGACTTTGCAACAAATGAAGGTACGTTGTTTGTTTAGTAGTTCAGAGCTTAGGATTCCTTTATTTTCCCCCCTAATTATCAGAAATTAATGATCATGATAGGTTTTTCTGATGTTGAAGAGATCGTTCAGTGTTTTAATCACTATGTATTTTAAAACCAAACTTCTGTGAGACTTAGGATTACAAAACTGAACTGGTACTCAGACTAAAATACTGCATATATATATTAAAAATAAACTGTGTGGTATACTACAGGGAAATGGAAAATAGGTATTATTACCAGCATTTTTACAAATATTCTTTAAAAAAACCCCTGAAACTGCAATTATTAAGTGATCATACTGGGTTGTATTGTAATCTTACAAGTGTGAAGTCTGAAGAGCTCTTGGACCTTGTTAATGCAGAAATCAAAGACTCATTATCCTGTTGATGCTTCAGGCAGTTAGGGTGCTCTCAGGGTGTAGTGGGCACTGTTGGGTCTGTTTGTCAGTCTTGGTGTATTGCTAATATTGAGTATTTCTTTTTCCAATATTAAAATGCAGCCACTGAAGTAGACAATTCATGAGCCTTTTCCAATGAGAGGATGTTTTTAGACTAGAAATAAACATTTTTTTAATAAAAAGAGGAAGCAGCGTTCATCTGGTAGCTTGAAAGAAACTTCATTAGCAGAAATGAGACAATTTCCTAGCTGTTTCTAAGGTCCTTTGCAGGTGTTCACACTTTTACTGTGGGTCTCTTGCAACCATAATCTACCCATGGTTCAGTTTGTCCTTGTGTGAACCTCAGCCTCCTGACAAGGCAGTGCTTGGGGAAGGGTGTTCTGGTGGATGAGTTAACCAGCAGCAGAACCTTGCCCAGCCTGTGGGGACCACCGCCGGGCAGTTGGTAGTATGTGGCTGGCCTCAGTGGTGGCTGCACTTGCTAGACGTGGAATGCAGCCATGAGCAGCCACGAACAGCAAAGCAAATGGTTCCTGCCGACAGTGTCTGAAGAGCTATCGGGATGTCTGTGCGATGGTTCCATACACTTGTGTTTAAATGCTGTGCTGATCTGTTCTTGAGCCATGCTACCCAGCCTGCAATGGCTCAGGCTTCAGCTGAAAAACTTGAGCAAGTATCTTAGTTTTGAAGTAAAAACTCAAGCTAGAAAACTGTATTAAAAAAACAAAACCTTGTTGTCAGCTGACTTCTCTATTCACAGGCTTAAAGTGGTGCAGAGGCACAAGCCTGCTTGGCCTTAGGCACTACTGAGAGACTGCTCTGCTTCTCTCTTGGTGGGTGAAGTTTGTCTGGCGCAGCTGGACTGCCTCCATTTTGCATGTTGTACTGTTGGCAAATGAGTAAATATCCCATAATTGTAACATGCTGAGTTCAAAACCAACTGTTCCGTGTCTGTGTTCAAACTACTGTCTGATTTCTGTAACGAGTCCTGCCACTTCCCAAAGGACAGTGTCCCTTAGTAGGGGTGGGAAGGAAATTCTCTGGCCTTTCAGTAAGGTTTGCCTGAATTTACTGCCTCTTTCTAACCTTCAGGCACAGCTTATGATTCCTAACTTACTACGTGGAGCTATACCTCTCTAAATTCAGGCATTTATTAGTTATTGGTGTACATCTGGGATCTCTGATAAGCTTTTCCTATATGCTTTGAGTATCAGGTATGTGGACCTAGGTAGAAAATTGCCCATTAAAATTAAATTACGGAGTGGTCTTCATCTGTCTATACAATTTTAAAGTGTAGAATGTAGTAATGATTTTAAAATGTTGGCAGATACTTAACAGATCTCTCTGGGTTACAAGTGTTGATTTCTGCCCCTCTTCCCCCTCCCACCCTCCCGTGTCTGACCAGATGGTGGCGGGGGAAGCCATGGCCCGGATGCAGGCGCTGAAGAAGCCGGCTCTGGCTCTGGGGACACAGAGGAGCTCAGCTCCCTGCCCGGGGCAGCTCTCACCGAGGAGCAGCAGCAGAGGATGAAGAGGAACAGGCAGCTGGCCTTGGAGAGGAGGCAGGCGAAGCTGCAGGGGAGCAGCCAGTCCCAACCCCACGGTAACAGCTCCCTGACTTAGGGGCTAGCATTAACCTCAGGAGCCCAAGAAGCTTACAGAGATGAGCTGCTGAGTCAGTTTAAAGGCAGTGGTAGTGATTGCTTTTCTAGAAGGTAGCCAAATGTGTAACTCTCAAATTTAAACTCTGTTCCTATAGTTGGAGTCCTCCAAAGCCAAGTCAGAACTGCTATCTGTAGTTGGGATAGCTTTGGCTTTGAAGTGAAACTTAACTTGCTGGTCATCTCTGGAGTTGGCTTTCCTGCAGGCTGTGGTTCTGGTGATAGAAGCTGCAGGTAAACACACAGCCAGGGTGTTTTCTCATGGTAGGAAATGGTTTTGTTTCTTTTTCAACAGAGCTCTCCACTAGTTACTCAGAAGAGGAGTTTATTACCCCAGTTGCTCAGGATCCTGCAGACCTTATTGAAGACACTCAAGGTACCACAACCAATGTTGCTGTTACAGAAGCTGAAAATGGAGATACAGAGTTGGAATGTGCCAATGAAAAGCAGTAACCATTCCCCATACTTTCAATGACTTTGTTGACCGAAAGACCCCAATATTTTAAGTACTGTCATTATTTTGATATGTTGCTGGCTGTTTGTACTCCAGAAGCTTCAGGGAAGTCTTCACTGTGACATCTGTATGGCTGGACAGAACTCTGCTCTTAAAGGTGCAGATGAGCAACTCTGAACACTGGAAAATGGAACAATGCTCTTCATCTGCATTTGAGACATCTTTTCCACTTTTCCCAACACTCTCTAAGAGATGTTAATGAGTTTTTTGTCCTCCTTTGAATTTTGTTTACGGTTGGTGTCAAACTGCATTAACGGGGATGTGGACAGGTGAACTTATTATTAAAGTTGTGTTGTTTGGGTTTTTTTAAAAGTGGGTAGTGCTATCTCTGAACAAGTGTCCTGGATTTTTTAAACTTGCTTATCTAGTATGTGTGTTTTTTCTTATAAAATGGAAGTTATTGAATTTCAGAAGTCAAACTTGCAATTCTTGTACGAAGCTGCTGCAACTACAACCCCTCCAAACTTCCCCATCCCTTGTGCTGGTCAGACATCTCTCGCAGACATGCACACCCCCTTTGGGGAACATGCTTTGGCTTTCATCTGTCTTGAGGCTCTGCTTCATCTTCTTACAGTCTTGCTTCTCCTTGCACAGCAGCTCGTCCCTTCTGTGAGTGAACAAGAGCTTGGGCTGCAGCAGCCAAGCCCTGAGCTTGGTCTCTCCCATAGCATAGGCTGGTGGTCGTGGCAGAAGTGGAACGAAGACAAGAGCAGCAGTGACAGCAGATGCAGTAAGTTGATGTCACCAGGTGTTATTTTACTGAGATGCCCCAGCTGCACATCTGGCATAAACAAAATCCTACATTCTGGAGTTTGCTTTTTGTGTCCTTGTAGCTATGAGGTAAAGTCCCTAGGCTAGAGTGGAAGATAGCCAAGAGCAGTAGGAAATATTTGGGTTTTTAAGAATTTTTATGGACAACATGGGGAAAGTAACTTTTGGAATGATAGTTAAAGGAATTCACCACACTGTCTTTAGAGTGGAAGATGAGATTTATCACATATAAAATCTTTTAAAAACTCATTCATAGTTGGATAAAAATTCTTATTTAAAATAGACATTTAGTTTCTTACTAAAAGGACTCTTTTAAAAGTACTATTTAAATACTTTTTTAAAAATAACACAAACTTAATTGTACAAACCATATAGGAGCAGAACACCAACATGCAGGCATGGCAGGCTGCAGTTCAAGTTCTGATGTCAGCTGAAACATCCAGTAGGGCCAAATCCCTGATCTCCTCCAGCAGCTGGTACAAGCTCACACCCTTGGTCTGGCAGTACTCCTGATAGTCTTCATCAATGACTTCAACTCTTGCTTTTTCTTGGGCACGCTGGGCTTCCTCTGCAGACTGACTGACTTCTTTTACCAAGTCAGATCTCAGCACGTGGGAACTCCTCTGGGAAACCTCTGTGTCCGAGGCCTGGTACGGAGCGTTCCTCATTATTTCAAGCTTGATTGCATCAGCATGGCTGCGGGAAGTCTGCACAAGTATCCTTACCTGAAAAGCAAGACAAATTATTTTCTTTCTCATAGTGCTCTTTCCTTTTATCTTCTTCAGATCAAATACTTACTGTAATATGGTCAAAAAGGCTTAATGTAACTGATTCTCCAGTAGTTGTAGTGGAAGTGATTTTATTCTGAAAGCGCTGAAGCGATCCAGGCTTCCACTCGCAGCTCTTGTCACCTTGGCAAGAGATGACTAAGCCTTCTTTGTTTTTCATATATGCAGCACCTTTGATTCCATATCTACAAAAAAGCAGATGAGCAGACAGAAGCTCTTCTAAATTTTCACCCTTATTGGTTCTCTTAATTTTCAAACCAGCAGAAGGCTGAACAGGATTATACATAAAACCAGTGTAAAGGGGGCAGACACTAGCCTGATAATCTTGCTTCAGGGACACTCCTGCATTGTCAAAGAAACCTCTGAGTATACAAAACCAGCGTGAAGATAGTCACCAAAGTATTTTGAAAGCAGTGAAGCAAAAACTCACAGTCAGTGATCCATTATCTTATGTGTTGGGTGGAGCCTGGAATGGCCCAATGGTGGAAGAAGAGCAGCATTACAGGTCATTCCAGACAGCACAGTGAGGAAATAGTTCTTCATTTAAAAAATGAAGAGCCTAACAGCCTTAAACAGCACCATGCAAACATTTCTTCTGTGTTTCCTACAAGAAGCAGCTGTTCAGAAGGTGCTCCAAGCCTGCATGAACTAGCTTGTGGTAAAGGACAAGAGCACTGAGGAGTGCAGGGCTTTGTGACTTGGAAGATCACTTTCTACTCCTTTTAATAAAATAAAAGGAGGAGGGGAGGAAACACTCCAGTCATAGTTGTGCCCTAGCAGCTGCTTGGGTGAAAAATGTCCTGTTAGTTTGAAATAAATACTGTGCAGTGCAGTCTTGCCCTTTCCTCACAGGAACTCTTTTTTGGAGCAAGAGCACAGAAAAGCACTGCTTAAGATTTACAACAAAAATTTATCCCCCAGTCATCGCTCAACAGCAGGGAATGCTAGAAACACTTTCCTTCTTGAGTAACCATCTTACTTTTCAGGTCAGTCCAGGCTCTGGTGAACTCACCTCGGTAGGAACACAAGCACGCCGTTAGTTCGGATTGAGTAAATAACTCCATCTGCTATGCAGCGCTCGTCTGTTTCTGGGGCTTTGTCTCTGAAGTACATGCACTGGAAGAGTTCTGTGGACTGTTTCTGGGCACGCTGAGCTGCCTGCAAGCATCCACCACAAAGAACACAAAACCACCTACATAAGTACTTCAATGAGCTGGTTTGGCTTTGATTTCCATAGTTTCTTTTTCCTATTACTTGCTCCTTTACCTGTCTCCTAGAGAAATTACATCTAAAAGGAAATCCGTCATGTAGTTGACATATGAAGTCACTACCACTCAGAAGAAAACTGATATTTAAATTAAAAAAAAAAAACCAACAAGGTGTTATAGATAAAAAGGAGTGATGCTGTGTCATAATATCCAAAAGCCACAGTCAGGACTGTCACACTGGGGCCACAGAAACACACAACGACCATCTTACCCGGTTTCTGTTATTAATGTGCCTGCACAGTTCCTCAAGATCCTTATTACTGAACAGATAATCCTTAACATCATCTTTGGTTTCACTCAGAGTCGCTGCCGTCAAGAGTCTGTGGACAACAATATCGGCGTATCTTCGAATGGGGGATGTGAAATGAGTGTACTTCTCTAAGGCAAGTCCTACAAATCAAACCGGCAGCGGTGATAAGTGATCAGAGCCATCAAATGCCTCCCACCCAACAGAAGTAACAGCAGGAACAGCATAAAAAAAGTGGCAGGGTACCGTAATGGTGAAACTCTTCCTCGGGACAGGAGCCGGTTGAGAAGTACAACGCGTTGGACATGGCGTGAGTGGCCATAGACCGCAACAGTTTGTTTACAATTGGGTCCGACGGGTCGTTTGCTTTATCCAGGGACTCAGCCAGTGCTTTGTTAGACCTGTCAAAAAAGTGTTAATTCTGTAGAAAAATGAGCTATCCCTGATCCTAACAGCTTACAGTTAAAAACAGCATACAAAAGCACCTGAATATGGAGGCACCACTGCTGCCCTTCACACTCTGATGGCCAGGAACAGTGCCTCCCAGTGTGAGAAAGCTCACAGCCTTCTCACAGTGTCTTGACAAAGTAATTCTGAATTATTTTGAGACATTTAAAAATGACTACATTGCACAGAATTAACTTGAACAAGTACTCTCCTGCACTCCTACTGCAGAAAATATGGTGCAAATGAGGCTATTACAGCACCTAACCACTACGCAGTGACTAAACAAATTCTTTTTCAGATATGTCTATTATTCAGACACGGCCAGTTTCAGTACAGCCAGCAGAACACAGGCACCACCTCACTAGAATATTATCTCCTGCTCACAGAAAGGTTATAGTAAGGGGTTTTTTTTTAAGTCTTGCTATGCAGCATCTATTAACATTAATACTCAGAATTAATGCTCTCTAACAACAACAGCCACATAGTTAACTGCTGAACTTGAACCAAAGCACTGCAGCAAGAGATACCGTGTGTCCATTGAGAAGCCTTTGGCACTGGCACATTCTCGCAGTTCAGTAAAAAACTCCTGTCGCGGCGGCGGGTGTTGGCGCAACAAAGCTTGATGGGGGAAGTTTTGGGAAATCTTTTTTGCCACCCAGTGGTTGGCAAGAATCATACATTCCGCTACAGTCTCGTGCACCTCCAGCGGCTGCCTGGGGATGAGGTCGTGGATGTTGTGTTCATCATCCAGCTGCACTCGGATTTCTACCCCTTCCAGCTCCAGAGCGCCGCAGCTGTCCCGCCTGGCTCTGACACGTCGGGCTATCTCGGTGAGTTTGGATATTGCCCAAACCAGTTCAGCCAACTTCTTCTCTCTAGTTCTTTCATCCAAGTCTTTCAATTCCAGGATATCATCAACCACGCTGGTGTCTCCCTCCAGCAGTCCCTGTGCTGCTTCGTAAGCCAGCTTGTAGGCAGATCGAATGATGGTTTTGACGTAGCGGACTCCCAGCACTTCGTAGGATTCTTTTTCCAGTTCCCACAAGACACTTACAGCATACCTTAAAGGCAAGATCACACGTCTATTGATCTTTGTGGTTGACTTAAACTATCCGTTCATGCACATCCAACTGTTAGAAATGTGCAAGTTTCATTCTGATGCACAAGGTTCATTCTCTTTTTCTTCATGAACAAACTAGTGCTCAGCAATGCCACTAATTAACACACTTGCCATTCAGTCTCACAGATCAGTGGTTCAGAAATAAGGACCAGCTCTGTCAGCAGGATTTCCAATCCATCTGCTGAGGCAGAGTACCCCTAAGACACAAGGGCACATTTGTTATTTTTATTAATTTTTATTTTATTAGGCAGATGCGTCCACAATGAACATCACTGCACCTTGCATATCCTCATGCCAG